AACTCGTTATCTCAAACCAGGGTCACATGGAGGGGAAAAGGAAGATTTGGGATGAAATAGTTGAGGGACTTTTGCTCCACTGGCTGGCTTTGTGTCTATTTTCAGTCCACATGAACTTTGTGGATGTGGCATCACGATGTGCAAACAGCATGGTTAATCTGGTGGGTCAGTCTGTGTAACTAGTGGTTAAATAACTTTGCACCATCTGGAGAAATTTTTTTGATCTAGTTGAAAGACCACATTTGGCGGCTGAAATGAAGATTTACTGAATTCAAACATTCAGTGCAGCTGCAGACCAGATTCAGTTCCTTCAAGTTATATAACACCATCAAAAAGACAGTTCCAAAGAGTTCGTGCCGTTATAAAAAATTCAACCAAGGGCAAAAACATTTTGAGAAAAAAAACTTGCTTCTTGAAGATCAACATCACTGATTAGACTGATTATTAATACTGCATAAGTCTCCCTTGATCGGTGACACCATGGTTGAGTGTTAAGTACTGTACATACAATACAGTCTATTTCTGAGTGTGAACAAGGATATTTTGTTAATATGCACCTCTGGAAGGGCAGTTGTTACCACAGTAACCACTAAAAGTCGATCCAAATAAACAACTAAAAGCAACAGGTTTTCTGTACACCTGCTGCCGTTACCACTGAACCCTAACCCTCAAATCAACGATCTCACCTGTCGTTACAGAACATTAAAAACTACTTAATGCACACACACAAGTTACGGACGCTCGAAAAGGAAGGCCGACAGGTTGTGGAAATAGAAAGAGCCTGGAGCATCTCCCCCTCTGTGCATTCACTTAGGACTGATCGCTTCTCCTCTTTCTCATTCCACCACTTTCAAAACCGATATCTTTTTTTGCGCTGCCGTGAAATTAGCAATTACATGCCAACTAATTGACAATGAGATCAAAAGGAACAGCAATAGGCTTTGCCATATACCACCAAATCCAACAATAGCAATAATGAAAGCAACAGTTGGTGAAAACTAAAAGAAGCTTTTCATGACCAACTTTCTTATCAACACATGCGATTCTTGAAACGGAGAACTTTCCCAATTGTTAACGGTTTACTGCAAAAAAGTGATGCCAAGTACAAGTGAAGAGATGGACGGGCAACAAACCACATTATCGCCTCTCCTTCCTGAATAAAGTATCTCATTAAACTCTCGTGCCGAGCCAAAGTTTAAGGAACATTCTTCCATTACTTCACAGGAAAAGAACGTTTTCTTGCTTTCACGCGCTTCCTTCATTATGCAGCAGAGTCTGAACGATGCAGGAATGTCTGACACGAGCCTGAATAGTAATCCTGGCTTCAGGAGATTAAAACAGCCCACGTTTAGTTCTCACATCTGCACTCGATGACAGACCAGTCCCACCCGTGACAGAGACACCGGTATTGTCTCCACCTTGTGAGTCTGTGCGTGTGTGTGTGTGTGTGTGTGTGTGTTCACAGGTTTTTATACGTCCTTGAACGCCGTGATTCGGTCGGAGAACTTTACAGAAGCGCGTTTGGGATTAAAACGGAGGCAGAGTTCAGGCAGGTGGTGCGGATGGAGAACGCTTCACGATGCTCCAGACTGCTCGTGCATCCTAATGAGAAATGTTTAGGAGTTGTGGTGAATTCACGACTGCACGCTGAGGTTATCTCTGATCGGCGAGGGGCGGAAGGTCTAGACGGATGTGTTTCTTTGGGGGAAGAGATATTGATAATGAATATGATGAATAATGCCTGCTGGCCCTGGGAATCAGACTAATGAGTTGGTGTTGGTGCAGACGGACTAAAATTAGGCCGAAGGCGCTGGCTGTCTCCTAAATGTCTAAAGGGAGGGGATAATAAGGACAGGGCAGTGCAGGGACGGGAAGTTAGCGATCACTGCTGAATGCAATGACCAGGGCTTCTTCTCTCATTAACAAACCGCTTGCCAGGTTACTTAAGTACATCTAACGTCTCCCAACACCAGTGTGTTTCTTCTCCTAATGAATCTACTGATGTTTTGTAGCCGGGCAGTGGCTTAGGGTTGGTGGGATCGTGCCTCGCTTAGCCTTACAATTCCTGTATGAGTTGAGATGATCCAAATCAGATCTACGTTCTATCCTGATATAATCTAATAACGACGAATCACCATGACTTCTTGTTTATTACAAATTGACTTTTATTTATTTTGCCTGTTTCTCAGAAGTTGCGGCGGTTACACGCTTGGGTCTATTTATCCCTGGCAAGCGATTCATGGGAAAATGAGCAATGGGGATCTATTTGTTCTTATAATAGAGCTAAATAGGAACAACGTGTGCATTACACAGTGTGGCCTCCATGTAATATATCGTGTATCTTCAGACAAGCCAAAAAGATGCTGGCAAGCTAATGCCGGTTAATTCATTGAGAAAGGGAGACATGAGCGCCAGAGAGCAGATTTGAACAACTGCCTTGGGAATTGCTGTTGGAAGCTACCACAGTAAAACGCCACATCTCCTGTGATAGCTTAGATACACGCCAGTCTAACTGAACGCCATCTCTTATTAGAATCTGCCGTATAGCTCCAGGCGAAACAATCCAAACAGAATGTTTGTTTCACTGCATCACTGAAACGGGAGATATTTGAAGCGGGATCCGTCAATGAGACCATAAATCTACGATCCGCTTTTGCCGATACACATTTAATCTAAAGTTGCTGCATCCTTCAGTGACACAACATGTTGGATGAGATCCCATGAAGTTCACTACCACAGGTTTGAGTCGGAGTGTTGAAATGAGAGCTTACGGTAGGTCAACAACGGTCAGGATTAGTTTGAACAGCGCTTTTAAACACATCATTGGATGTTTCCTGCAACTTCCCCCTGCTTTTTACACCTTAACCGAGAAGAATACTTTGGTCATTATGCTCTTTTTTATCAACTTCTCACTCTTTCTATATCCCTCTCTTTATCTCTTGCAAACAGTTAATTGCATATATGGGCTGATATCTAACTGTTGTTCAGTGTTGTTATGTTTACAGTCAATTAAACGATGAATCAACTGAAAATCAGGCAAATACGCAGCAGCAGCAGCCACCTGTCCCCCATGAGGTGCACTTGCATCGTGTGTGTGTTTGTGTGTGCCTGAGCACCCTTGTGGATACTGCGATGAGTGAGAGTGCGCAGCTCATGTTCCTTGTAGATAAACAACACTGGAATAAAGCGCCGACAATGGTGGAATTGCAGCACGTCACTACGGAAATGTCAGCAGTCAGTTTGCTTCGTTCGGAATAATTGAACAACTGGGACCAAACAGTGTGGCAAAGACGTCGACGTGAAACAAACTCTTACTAATTGTCGGCTCACACAGTGATTTGTAGTCTCTAAAAATGGTTAAATGGTTCGGAAGGCCGCATGTATAGTCTTAACCAAAACTATATTACCCCGGCTTAAGTTTGCATCTATTGACTTCAAATCAGCCTTAATGGCTTTTGATGAGTTACAATGTTAAACTGTATAATGGGCCCGTCCCCTTTCTACCCAAACCTAACAGCAGTCTGCAGGGTCCTTTTCCTCTCACGCTGCCTCCAGGCCGAACCTCCCTACAGACATCAAGCAGACTTCCATTCAAATTAACTGTTTATTGTTTCATTATTTTCTCAACCTAAGTGTATTATTTACTTCTATATATAGAATACGTAGTTTTCCCTGCCAACGAGAGTAATGTAAACTGAACGTCACCCTGAACAAACTCTTTATTCATCTCTGTCTCTAGCTAATCTTGGCTGGCCGATCGGCCATCATGGGACTCTCCCCCTTCTCGCCTGCCTCTGTCCACACGTTGGACCTGGATCTCTGTCCTCGGGGAGATTCGTCCTCGTCTCTAGTCTATCTCACTCCCTCTCAGTCTCTGCTTGCTTTCTCTCAGTGTGAATGATGTGCTTCAGCTTTGCTCCCCGTGTGTTTGTGCAGCCTATCCGGTCCTTCCCGGGTTTCCATGGCAGAGACGAGGCCGCGGCAACACCTGGAAGCTGCGTAGCATCATCCTGGATCCAATTTTACATTTGTCATTTGAATAGTCTAACTGTATCAGGTTGGTTAATACGTGCACATGACATACAAATTCAATTGACTTGTGCTGAGTTTAACATGACACTCTCCTCCTATTCATAGCCACTGTATGTTTACCCATCCACACTCTTAGGTGGACACACCGCTCATAAAATAAGAGATAAGAAGTTCAGCAAGAGTTTAAGCACTTATTCTTATTCTTATTAGTTCCTTAGAATATTAAATATTAAACAAAAATTGTATCTGTCTTTATGCAAAGTTCTTCACATACAGTAGATAAACTATTTTCCTGTTGCTCCCTATATTGCTGCCGTACATTTAGTTCCATTGTGTGGCTCGAGGGTTTTAACAAATGGTCACAGTACAAGTGATGACATCCGGGACAGCTAATTTAGCTAATTTAACAGTTTATTGTGGAACTGATTGGAGTGTCGTCCTCATGGAGAAAACCCTAAAACTTGAAATGTTCATTAAATGAAGCTCAAACAGCCCGTGTGTGTGTCTGTGTGCGTGCGTGCGTGCGTGCGTGCGCATGTGTGTGTGTGGGTGTGTTTAGATGGGCTGCTCTGAATTCATTAAACTGTGAAAAATAATGGAACAAATGAATGAGTCAAATAGAGGGAATATATCATTATAATTTGAGACTGCATAAGCAAGGAGGAGGAGGATGGAAAGGAGACGAAACCACCTCTCACACCTGCATGCAACTTCAGGGACAGTAAATAGATGTGATCAGAAAAAATGTCTAACTTTTGGCAACAATAAACAGCAAACTGTCACAATTTTTCAGTTTAAATTTTAATTAATTAGTTAGTTATCTGGAAAGCCGTTTGAAATTAAAACGGAGGCAGGAAAACCTGACTCTGGGACATGATTTACATTTATCTCACAAAGGTTATTTGATATATTTCTATCTTCCTTCTGTCCTTCCAAACTTTTCGACGAGAAACCTGTGACCTGCTCACCTGTGCCGTTCTCCCCGCCTCCCCTCCTCCGATCCAGGCGCCCCGGTGAGTGCCGGCGGCTCCCATATCACGGACGAAAAGAGGGAAAAAGAAAAGCGGAGTCCGATCTGCACAAAGTGAGCAAAAGGAGTGACACTGGACGTCAGTCCGCCTTGTGCCATAAAGAGAGAGAGAAAGAGAGAGAGAGAGAGAGAACAGTGATCCATGCTGCCATCCTGTGGCTGTTCCTCAATCACACGCTGACAGACTGAAAACAATCCTTACAATGTGTTTTAATATTGTCTATATTTTTCTACACTAGAGTGATACGATTTATTGATGAAGTTCATGTTTATGCTGACGGCTTATACAAGTCCAGTACACTTCAATCTAACAAGAAGCCGGGAGAATGGACTCAAAGGGGCCATCGCTTTTATTTAAGGCGTTACAGCTCTGCAGTAGATTTACATCGAGAAAACACAAATAAAATATCAGCTGAGTTACAGTTTTCTTGGTGGATTTATTGGGGGAAATATTTTGGGGGAACAATGGTGGGACACACGGATGCAGAAGTCATAATTGCATGGTTTGGCCCCTATGGAAATTGGCTTCAACGCCTGGAGCTCTTTCTTTCTGTTGTTTTGTAGATCTTACATCTACAATTTTGGTATTTCAGTTGGAATCGCCTTGTTAGGTGTTTAACCTTGTTGTGTATTCTCCAGGACAGCATGTTTGGAACGCAGAATTATGTTTTGCGGTTTTATTCTGTAAATGTACTAATGTGGTATGGAAAAGTTTGGGCACCCCTGATCATTTTCAAGATTTTCCTTTATGTATCATTAGTTGTTCGGAACAGCAATTTCAATTAAATATATCATATAGCAGACAAACACAGTGGTACTTAAGAAGTGAAATAAAGTTAACAGGCTTTACAGAAAGTGTGCAATAATTATTTGAACAAAAGTAGGCAGGTGCATAAATTTGGGCACCCTTGTTGTTTTTTTGATTTGAATACCTTCAGCACTAATTATTGGAACACAAAATGGGTTTGGTAAGCTCATTGACCCTTGACCTACATACACAGGTGAAGCCAATCATGAGAAAGGGTATTTAAGGTGGCCTGTTGCAAGTTGTTCTCCTCTTTGCATCTTCTCTGAAGACTGGCAACACGGGAGCCTCAAAACAACTGTCAAATGACCTGAAAACAAAGATTGTTCAACATCGTGGTTTCAGGGGAAGGATACAAAAAGCTAGCTCAGAGATTTCAGCTGTCAGTTTCCACTGTGAGGAACATAGTGAGGAAATGGAAGACCACAGGCACAGTTCTAGTTAAGGCCCGTAGTGGCAGGCCAAGAAAAATCTCAGATAAGCAGGGTCTAAGGATGGTGAGAACAGTCAAACTCAACCCACAACCAGCTCCAAAGGCCTACAACATGATCTTGCTGCAGATGGTGTCACTGTGCATCTTTCAACTATTGATGCTGTATGGGAGAGTAATGCGGCAGGAGCCTTTTCTGCGCCCATGCCACAAAAAGTCGCTTGAGGTATGCTAAAGCACATTTGGACAAGCCAGCTTCATTTTGGAATAAGGTGCTGTGGACTGATGAAACTAAAATGTAGTTGTTTGGACATAAGGGGCGGTATGCATGGCGGAAGAAAAACACTTGCTACCCACAGTAACATTTGGTGGTGGTTCCATCATGCTGTGGGGCTGTGTGGCCAGTGCAGGTACTGGCAATCTTGTTAAAGGTTGCATGGATTCCAGTCAGTATCAGCAGATTCTTGCGAATAATGTTCAAGAATCAGTGACAAAGTTGAAGTAGCGCCGGGGCTGGATACTTCAAGACAACGGCCCTAAACACTGCTCAAATTCTACCAAAGCATTCATGCAGAGTACAACGTTCTGGAATGGTCCATCTCAGTCCCCAGACCTGAATATCATTGAAAATCTCTGGTCTGATTTCTGCAAAAGGAGGATCTACTAAATATTGATGTAATTTTTCTGTTGGGGTGCCCAAATATATGCACCTGCCTACTTTTGTTTAAGTAATTATTGCACTTTCTGTAAATTCTATAAACTTCATTTCACTTCTTAAATATCACTGTTTGTCTCCTAATATGATATATATTTAATTGAATTTTTTTTTCTGTGGAAACTCTTGAAAATGATCAGGGGTGCCCAAACGTTTTCATACCGCTATAACATTCCTTTTAATTATACCTTGTGATGAATAATTGCTTTCTTTTTTTTCTTACATCATAAAGCCATCCAGCAGATACAGCTGCCTTTAGCACTTGGTGCTGCTGCAAAGCAGAACCTTCATTTGGCAAGAAAAACCAATACACATTCCTGCGTGCTCTATAAAAGCCTTTTGTCTGATGCTTGTTGGTTGTTGTGCTGAATGCTGCTTATTCAAATTCCAAACAGGTTATTGTCACCACGGCAACTGCCACTCTACCAATTACCATTCCTGATACTTTCCCAAGTAACCAACCCACAGTCCGCCAAGCCTCAGGACCACTCCATCGTACACCTCGGCACCTGCTTCATCTTTGATGCTCACTATCCATTCAGGGAGAGCAGGATTCAGATCTTCATAACAGAAAAAAAAAAAAAAAAAATCTTCCTGGATTTGAGAGGCACTGTATCGGAAGGAGTCCCTGTCCAGTGCCATAAGCTGTTTCGAGTCGGGTTCTGTGGAATTCCAAAGTGTTTCAAGTGCAGCGCAGGAGATGCTGTAAATGCTCTTATAAGAGATTCACCCCTCTCCTCCAGTGCTCGTGACTGCTGGGCCACTTTGAGATGCTAAAGCACGGCTCGCTGTTGTCCCTCAACCCTCATTTAGCATGTTTCTTAAACAGCTACAGCGAGGACAAGGTTGCATCCGTATACGTTCCCTCTGTTACTGAGACAATAATTAGTTCACAAGAATAGAATTCATTCAAAACGTTTATTGTTTTGTTTTTTTCTCACTTGTTTGCATTGCTCTGTAATCTGTTATGGACCACCAGTATCATGAAAGGGGGCAGCAGCAAACGGTAGTACAGTAGTACATTTATTAACTTATTTATTCATAGAAATCAACTTTTTATGAATTTTTTATTCCCTTATTTTTTGCATTGAGTGTTCACCATGCAATCATGTTGACATTATGACAAGCAGCTTAACACTTACACCTACAACAGCACATACAACAAAACAAAGGTAAAAAATGTAACAGAAAACATTATTGGTCTTTTTAGGTTGAGGGAACAAATCAACGTAAAGAAAAGATCTTTTTGTAGCAGGAAATCTGAGTAGCACACGTTAAACTTCAGTAGAAAACCCCCCAGCGACTGAAATGTAGAATTACGGACGTGCCCTGAACGCACCACCCTCCGGTGCGCACACCTCCGCTCACCTCGCGCTGAAACCGTGACGACAATGAGGTCAAAGTCATTCGATACACTGGCAGAAAGGACAGCGGCTTTGCCCCCGAACCCGAATCGATTGGTTAAAGTTCACAGTTACTGTCCGTTTTTTAGTTTTTCTTTTAAAGCTAAGCAGCGCGCGCTAGCGTTGGACCCACCTGACCAAAAACCCCAATTCAATTCCGCGAGCGCTTCTGCCAGCGCCGAGGACCCGGATGGCTAAACTAGCAGGAAGCGCCGGCGTGCCGGTGCTCGGGGACAAGTCGCTGGACTTCTACCGGGACCCGGTGGGTTTCTGCCAGCAGAAGATCGACAAACACCGGGGGAGAGTGTTTCAGTGCCGCGTGCTGAACAGAGCGACCGTCTTCGTCTGCTCCGTGCGCGCGATGAGGGAGCTGCTGTGCGGTACGTTGTGCGCGCACACGTGTGTGTGTGTGTGTGTGTGTGTGTGTGTGTGTGTGTGTGTGTGTGTGTGTGTGTGTGTGTGCGTGTGCAGGCGCGCAACAGGTGCGCATCCCGAAAGGTAACGACGGATAATAACAATAACGTCAGTATTTAAAGGTGCAACCGATACATTTTATTGGCCTCCTGCTTGGAGAATCCTTGATCGATTTGACCGAACGTGACTCGGCAGTTTATTCTCCTCGTGCCTCCGTTGGAATCATTATTCTTTTAGTTGAATTCATTCATAATTAATAGCGCGTAGATACTATTGTGTTCTGCAGTTGAGGGGGTTAATTATCATTAATTAAAAGCCCATTTTACACTGACTGCACTGAATGACGTAGAGAGCAATGGCTCTGATGCAGAGGATCAAAAGGACAAATTCACCTTTTTTAAAGGGAGTTAAATCCCCTCCCGGATTATTCTGATCGTCATCGGAGACACTCGTGATGTTACATGAGAGGAGAGAGGACGTAACAGAGACCGTGTTTTATTGGCGTTAGTACTTTATGATGGAATAATAACTTAAAAAATGAGATACAAGTATGTGAAATAGAGTTCATAAAGTTACTATACCCTTTGAATTAGATAAAGCCTTTAAACGGATATTTATTTGACATTTATTTGATTTAAATAACAGAAATATCTCTTCAGTACGTTATACATTCAATAGGATTTTCAGTTCAGTTCTTGTTACATTCGTCAATCATGTTTGCATCTGAACGTGTCACAGTGGTAGTACTAGTTTTGAAGTGATGTGTTGTGTGTTTCAGAGAAGTCCAACACTTTTCAGAAGGATCCAACTGACTTGATGACCAACATGTATGGCGACACCGTTGTCACCACGAACGGTAAACACACGCACAGCCCCACAAAACCCCACAAACGGCCCAAAGCACAGCTTTGAATGCGACAGATACTTATTTTAAATCATTGCTAAGATGAGAAAAAAAACTCTCCTAGATGCAGGTACTGATAACCTATTGTATTCACACCTATGGGTTCATCCTATACTCTCAATGCAATGGAAGATTAATATACGCTCCTATACACTTCAGTACACGTGAGTGTCTTGCATTTGTGTATTTTAGGTGAGGAGGCGTATCTTCTTCGTCTGTCACTCACCACCTTGTTCACAGGAAGTTGTTTGAAGTCCTCCAACGATTACATCACCAGGTAGGGGACCAAATGTTTTACAAGTAATAATTGTGTGGCCATGTATGACCCAGAGAGTCACAGACTTCGGGCCATGTTGCTCATCAGCATTGTTGTGTAACTTGTTGTGTAATGGATGAAGAAGTCCTTCTTTCTACAGCAATGTCTCCATCCCATGTCCGGGGCTTCTTGAGTAAGAACGGACCGAGTCTGTGTTGTTTACACTGTGTGTGTGTGTGTGTGTGTTTGCTCTACCTCTTTACCAGTGTGTGTGAGCGCCACCTGAAGGACCTCTCTCTCAGGTAACTAATTCTCAAATTCTATATTCTACAAATTACGACTGAAAAACAGGACTGATGGATAAGCTGCCGCACAACACTTCCGCCGCCATTTTTCCTCAAATACTTGTTTTCCATGGATTCTTGCTTTTTTGTGTGTTTGTGCTTCTCACGGACGTGCGTACAGTTTCATGACGTGTGCTGGATATTTATTCGCTTCATGTATTCCATGTGCGCAGTGGGCGGCCTCCGTGTTTGTACTCCGCCTTCAAGCGTCTGGGGACGGAGTTGGTGCTGGGCCTTTTCCTCAACGTGCGAGCAGAAGAGCAACCCCAACTCTTCCAAGAAATCGTGCAGCTCTGCACGCAGCACTGGCATGGTAGGGGCAAGCCCAGTGTGTTGTTTAAAGGACACACACATGCAGAAACACACGCTTTTAAAAAAATGATTTGCCTTTCAAATAGACAGTCCAGTGGCAGCCTGCATGCTGACCTGTGGACGTCACACGTGTCAATAGAGGCAGGATCGCTACTCTAGAGGAGGCTTTCGTGAAGGCCCCGCGACCCACAAACGGGAGCAGTCAAAATTATAATCTTAAACCTGCGCAGAAAGCGCTGGATTTTGTCGTAGGCGAGGCAATGTTTTTTTGAAAAGCACATTTCAACAACAAGGCAATTCAAAGTGCTTCACATAAAACCATTTAAAACCATCCAAACATAAAGTAAGGAGATTTACAAACAGTTAAGGACATTTATTGAAACTTAAAAGAAAAACCGTCATAAACCTATTTCATTATTTTGTGTTATATGCTTGGTTGTAAGGTTTGTCTGAGATTATACTTTAATGTTTCCAACGGTGTGTATCATTCATATATTTTTTTCGTGATAAGTACACAACATATCTGTTGTAATTTGCTTCACTTGGGATGAACAGGATTTATCCCCTTTCCCGATATTGTCCTTTATTTAAATGCAGCACTGGCATTGTTACAAACTCTCCCCAAACACCTTGTGATCTTCTCCAGACGCGTTTATTTGAGTCGGCTCTGTTCTGCATCGTGTTGCAAAATCCTCCACTTCTCCTTTCAATTCAGCTCAGTGAATACGACGTTTCTGTGTGTTGTCGCCCTTCTCCTCGTACGTTGTTTCGTGAACAACTCCTCCTGCGGCCCTCGCAGGTCTGATCTCCGCTCCGGTCAATGTGAAAGTTCCTCTGTGGTCGTCGGGCTTCTCCAACGCTCTGGACGCCAGAGACAGACTGATGGACATCATCAAAGACAAACTGAAGAATGACACACAGGGGTGAGGCTTGCATGTGTCAGTGTACTTCTGCCTTTCTCCGTCACACACACACACACACACACACACGATAGTAGAGACGGAAGGAAGCGTCCCACTGCTTCTTCACTTCCCCTCTTGGGTGTCGTTCTTAAGCCTGTTTAAAGCCGTTCTCTCGTACGCGATCGCACACGTTGAGCAGTTTTCATTTAACTCTCTTGTCTACCTCTTCCTTCTGTTCACCAAAGACTTGCCAGTACTTTATATGTTGGTTAAATTTTAAAAAAGTTAACAAATTTGGTGAAGTAAACTTGTGCAAAAATAACGACGATCCTTCCTCCCGGCCCGTCGGCTTCCCGTATGACTGCCTGAGCTCTGGGCTCCATTTCTCTATTTCCACATTTTTGTGTCATCTGTGCCTCAATAAATACGTTGTAGTTTTCGAGTTCTGCCTTTTTTCTTTGGCATCGGGCAAAGGTGATCTTCACCCGTTATCTGCTTGGTCTGTCTTTTGGATCAAACGTACCTTTCACTCCATCTTTACGAGTAACGAACCAGGACGTTGATGTGGAACCTTAATCTCTATGTTGCTCTCTCCTCTTTGCGCCCGGCAGCTTCGTCGGCTCCCTCGGCTCTTTGCCGCTGCCTGACTCCAGTTCTGCCTCCCAGCATCTGCTGCTGTTCATCTCAGCTCTGATCCCCAAAGCTCTGGCTTCGCTGCTCACCTCCTTCACGCTGGCGCTCAGTGGAAACGAACAGGTGCGCAAACACGGACAGGACGGTGCGTGTCGAGACAAAACAACAACCAGATGTGACGGACAAAAATACATGTCGTTGTTTGAATAATTCAGATAACACTAGGCCTATAAGCCTGTTCTGTAGGAAAGGTAACCTTGAATGACTTCTGTTCTAAACAGGCACTACTGTATATAGAATACAATTAGCTTTTCTTTGACACAGCGGAAATGAGACCTCTGGAGAAACTAGCACCCTGGGCCATAACTTTTCTTGCCCGATGCTTCTGCTTTCAAATAAAAATGACCTCCAGTAATCTTTTTCTTTCATGAGAAGCACCGTCGGCGAGCTGCAGAAGATCCCGACTACCTACGCAGAGTACTGCTGGAGGTTCAGAGACTGTGGCCTCCTTTCATTGGTGGACGCAGAATAGCTGATGAGGTAGGACTGTTCACCAGGATTACATCCGGTTTAATCACGTATTGCTGAATGAGTGTTGGGTATTTCTTGTGTTTTGAATTTGAGGGATTCATTGTCATGAGACATTATCCGTCGTGTTCGAGTGTGTGTGTGTGTGTGTGTGTGTGTGTGTGTGTGGGGGGGGGGGTGGAACTCTGCTGTGCTCTTTAATCCAAAAAATGAAATAACAGTATTAAAAACATGAATAGTAAAAAAAATAAATAGCAGGGTCATTTTCAGCTGCTGTACATTGCAGGTATAGTATCCTTGAACATCTTAACAATCAGTGCAGAAGTAGCATTAAATCCCTGGAGAGTTCAGCTTATAAGCAATGTAGACAGCAAATGTTATTCTTTCATGTTTGAAAAAAACTAATAAAAATATGAAGAAAAAGTCCTGTCTTTTGCTAACCTCATTTAGACAAACCCTCTCATTTGGATGTTTTAACATGGCTGAAGAAACCATAAATAGTCCAACATTCTGTTTACTGGTTTCCGTGTTGCACTGCTCTCCCCCAGATGGCGGCATATTCCTGTTGTTGTAAGTCTCCCCTGTTGTCACCGCCTCCTCTTGTGTTTTAAGTGCAATGAGCTGCGGTGACTGGACGAGAAGCACAAACACCTGACCGCATATTATCGGCCCTGCAGTAAAAATCAGTTTCTGCAAATCTGCATTATGTAATGTTTTCCTGATGCTCAGTTAATGTCGTTGGAACAATTACATAAGCCTGCAAATGGAATTAATTTAACCGGTATCTACCGCAGAGCTCTTGTAATTATTAGTTTACAGCCCTTGTTTAAAAAAACCTTTTTGAAAACTATTTGATTTAAGTTTTCCATGCATCCATTATTTTTACTTCCTTATTTTACTTCCAGCATCGGCTGTGTTTATCATCATGACCTCATCAAACTGCCTTATGCAACAGCTCAATCAGAGGCATTGATCCCTCCCTGTTATTGATTGCCTCCGCTCTCCCGGAAAGGGAGTGAGTGAGCGTGTGTGTGTGTGTGTGTGTGTGTGTGTGTGTGTGGGGGTTAAGGGTTCGGCAGTGGGATTGATGGATGCTGGTGGCACTGTGAGGCCGAGTGGAAAGTCATTTGTCACTTCTGGGAAACGCACCAGCGCTCTGATTCCCAACGCCCTCGGTGGAACGCGGGAGGGGGGGGTGGGGGTCATGATGTGTGGGCGTTTTTGGAGAGAAGTAACAACTCAAAGAATAATGTGTCTTTGCAAGATGGATTAGTTAGTGTTAAGGGAGGAAAGACTACTAGAATATCTATGCAGACGCAAATTGAGTAGGTGATTTGTGTTGAAAAGTACTTAAGCCGTAGTAAGGAATTTATTCTTTTGACCACTACTTGTAGGCATTTTACAAATTGCCTCTGTAAAAGTGCTCATATGACCCCTCGACTACAACCAGGTCATAAATAATTTTTCACTCAAGTCTTTTATCAAATGTAAGAACCATTTTCATGCTATCTTGGCCTTTTGCGTTGATTTCATTTTTAATATTGAACAATAACAATGAACTCAAGCAGCAAAGGTTCTGCCCTACCCTGGGAAAATATATTTTAGTGTAAACAATTCAAAGAAAAGCAGAAGGGAAGTGCTGGATCCAGAGTGATAAGAAGTCAATGAGGTGTTTATGTGTGCAGACAGGTGTAAGAGAGAGAGAGAGGTTATTAGTATTCACAATCCGGTGGAAAAAGTAGAAGCTCCATCCAGGTGGAACTAAGATATGCAGCCGTTTTCAGGATCATTGCGTGCGTCTGTAGATGAGTGAATTTGCGAGCGAGTAATGAACTGCAGTGGCAAAGGCATCGTTCTGGGAGAACTGGGAGAAAGAAGGCAAATTGTAAAATATTTTCCACTACAGCAGCAAAAGAGAAACAAGGTAGAGGGGAGTAGAGGAAACGGTGATCCTGTTTTGTGGTGGTCCATTAGTGCAGCTGCTAATGGATGGAGTGAATAGGCGAATTAAAAGGGCAACAATTGGGTAAGTGGTCTTTTTGCCCACGGTGGGTCCTTTCCCCAGAGCTTAGTGAACAATCAACAGGGGGAAATGTTGTTTAAAATGGATCTGCAATTCACAATATGAACCAAACACAAGTGTGGAAGAAGTCTCCCGTTCATTCTGGTTCAAATGGCTTAAAGTTGGATCATGGCTGTGTTCACATTCTGTTCTGAATCTATCTCATTACTGTAAAATCTGCATCACAATCATGAAACTCCTGATCAACAATTTCTAGAATATTTAGTTATTGATTTGATGCAGGATTCGCTCTGTCATTCAATTATTATTATTATTATTTCTCCCCCTTTCTACGTGTAGGACTCCACGTTAGCAGGATTTCATGTCCCAAAGGATTATGGGGTCATCTATATCAGCCATTCTGTCCACCGCGACCCAGAGGTGTTTGAGCAGCCAGACCACTTCCTGCCAGAGAGATGGAGCGGAAGGTAAGCGCCTTAGATTTGGCTTTAGCTTGTTAAGCTGCGTTGCAGAAAAACAGACGCAAAGAAGCAATGTTAAGGATGCGTGGTAGAAAAGTATGAATATGATGTTCATGATGAGGTGTACGTTGGTGTGTAATCACCTCAAAATAGGATTTGGTGTGTTTTCTTTAACTTGGAATGAGCCCCTTCATGTCTTCATAGAGAGCGGGTCCTCTTCCTCGAAGCCCGCCATGTTGACCACGTTGACCACGTTGACCACGTTGACCATGTGGACCATGTGGACCATGTGGACCATGTGGACCATGTGGACCATATTGGCCATGTTGCACATGTTGCACATGTGGACCATGTGGACCATGTTGCACATGTTTCTACAATAGCCCTGAATGGACCAACTGAACACTGGTCCTAGAAAGGTGCCTTTTTGACAAACAACTCTGTAGCAATCTCAACTCATCTCAAGTGTGTATTCTTTACAAAGAGCAATTGCTTCCGTTGAGTGCTGCCACTTTTCTTAGATAATCAACAATCACAACAGTAGCAAGAGGAGACAATTTCTCCACAAACAGGTGCAGAAAATAGACCCCAAAACTGTCACGAAATGAGGATTTTCAAGTAAGTGGTACAACTTACAAAATTGGAGACAAATCTGCAGAATGAAAACCATTCATTAACAGGTTATAATGATCTGATGAAATCGTTTATTGACAGCTATTGTTTTTTCGAAGAATTTTGTCATGTACATCTCTGGGAACTGAACCTGTTACATTTCTGTGTCCATATTAGTGGATGGTCCTAAAAGGTTGAGAAAAGAGTCGGGTCATCCTCTGCCACACGCACACACACACAAACACACTGACCATTAGGCGGAGGAAGGTGGAGGAAGGCGAAGGAGGCGCTCAGTGGTTTAACACATTGATGCCAAATGCATAACTTTTTAAAAGAAAACTAATGGGTGATGGAATCATTTCTATTAATGGATGGAGGAACAAGTGGTAATGGACAGATTTTTGTTGTTTGCATGATTTCTGTAGATGGTACTGGTGAAGAAATTAGGAAAATAAGGTGCTGGCAACTGTGACTTGTCTGAAATTATACCACAGGAAAATGAACTGGTACTGCAGGTTTATATTAAACTCCATGTAACCATAGCAACAGCACAGGGAGCTCTACTTAATTTCAAAGGTCTACAGTTATAGCTTAAGTGGAGAGGTAACATTGCACAAATTGGTTGTTACATATAAAAAAATATTTAGTCACAACTAATCCCAGATTAACAGCGTAACTGTTGCATAGTTACATTAACCTTAATCAAAAAACTGTTATTGAAACATTTTTAAAACATTAATTCCATGCACAAAGGTGGGGCACCATTGGCACAGTAATTGTCCTTTTTTTAAAAAGTAAGCAATTTCGTCATAAGAAATCCTTCCACACAAAGCTGCCTACTTATATATTCTGTCTAGGAGTCTTTTCTTCAGCCTGCTTTGTAAGTCTATATTGGGAATCCCGCTGGTTGGTGTGGCTGTACATGGTCTCCGCCTGCTACCTGCTCTGTTAGAATGTAACCGGATCATACGTCCTTCACCAATTCACTCACTTTCATTCATCCACTTCCCCCGTTCACCTGTTTGTTCTCATTCACGATTGTTCATTCAGACGACCGAGCAAAGGGTGAATGGGGGGGAGGGTGGAGGAGATCTATGAATGAATGTATGTATGTATGTAGGGAGCTGCTACCATGGAAACCAGTCATCTGACACTGTCTTTACCAATAGGGATTCCCTGCGCGTGTGTGTGTGTGTGCAGGGTGGGGGATGATGCCCTGTGGAGCGAGACGGTGTACAGAATATGAGTCAGAAAAGATTCTATTCTTCTTGTTTTCGAATATGTGTGTGTGTGTTTCTCAGAACAAAAACAGCGTGATTACTTTAAAAGGAAATCTATTTGCGTGTGGGGCCTCCCCCCCCCACACACACACACACCTCAATGTCTCAGTATATTTTATGTGGTTGTGAGGATTTAGCCGTGCATACCAGTAAACCACTGGCTGACCCATTTTATTTAATTAACGGTAAGGCTATAATTTAATTCAACGCAATCTCTAGTCAAAACCATAAATTTACTAAACCAAATACTATTATATATGACCTTTCCCACAATGCCGAAAGGCTAAACTAACGATTCTTGTAACAATGTGATGATCTGCTTGTGCATAACCCATTATTCACTAAGTGGTGGGTGACCGTAGAAGCAGCGGAACACTTGATGGATAAATAGACAGGTGACTGTTGCCATGGTAACTGGGGGGGGGGATTCCCTGTGTGCTCTTTTGGGGGAGCGTGTGTGAGCTCTGGAGGATGAGATGGGGTTGAGGAATAAGTCATAGATTTTCCTTGGATAGATTAAACTACAAACAAAAACGTCGAATAACGATCATCAAAAAAAAAAGGTTTTGTCTGAAATTTATTTCACTATACGATAGAAAAGACTCTTGTGATTATTCAGATCTGTAGCTCATCCGTCTTTGTTGTAGACGTCTCTGTAATCCACAATCAACTGCCTGAGTACTGTGGTTTATTTTGAGTTCATCCCCATCAGATTGTCTCACTACTGCACCCAATTCATCAGCTAAAAACGATCCCCCAGCCGAAATGCTATTTAATAATGTTGGTGTTGTTGACTAAAAACTAGGTTTTCGAAAAGCGTTTGGCCTTTTTTTCTTAATGAAACCACATACTGTATTTGTGACCCGATTGACTTGGTGCTGAGGGGTAAGTGCAGGTGTTGTACGTGATCTAGGTTTGTGTGTGTCTAAATTGCTGCTCAAACTAGTGAGTTTCCCTCAGGATGTAACTATTTTAGTCCCCCTGTGTGTTTACTGTATTTACCCTTCCAACCGTCAATTTATCATCCGGTCTGTTCCTCTCTCCTCCTGCCTGTCTTTTCTTCTGCTTCTGTCAGTCTTCCTGGAGACCACTTTCCTGTCTGCCTCGATAGTTGCCTGGGCTCCTTTCCTTGCCACCTGGCCGTGTAATTTAATGATCCTGCCCACCTACAGTAACTACAGCCTAACCACATCATCTCTGTGTGTGTGTGTGTGTGTGTGTGTGTGTGTGTGTGTGTGTGTGTGTGTGTGTGTGTGTGTGTGTGTGTGTGTGTGTGTGTGTGTGTGTGTGTGTGTGTGTGTGTGTGTGTGTGTGTGTTTCTGTGCGATAATTGCGTAGATCGTCCGTTGTGTCGGTGCATACTGTATCCTCAGCTTGTGGGTTTGTGTGCTTTTCCAGTTGGAGGCAAATGGTCGAGCTGGCGAGTTAACATCCTATCAAACGCCCACACAGGCTCCGGCCCGTAGACGAATGAACCGGAAACGCCGGCAAACACCGATACAAAATCTGGGAAACTGTTTTGTTGCTGGTTTTAGTTGTAAGTCTGAGAACCGGTGGGTTTCCTGCATGTGTACAAATGGGGGGGGTTCTTTTCACACTATAACCTGACACAATCACAGGTTTTACATTTACCTTTTAATGCTCCAGCTCAAAACATTGATGTTATAAAACTCCTTAGGAAATACTGTTTGACAACATAATTAAGTGAAAATATATTATAAAAGGAAATAATCCAATGAAAGTCTTTCAGAGCTATACTTCATTCAGAATCCCTTTTGTAAAAGCTCATTCTTTACTGGATTAATTAAATACCATCATGGCCTCAGAGCTCATTCATTGCATTCGTACCCTTGCTACTTTAGAGTAGAAAAATGAATTACAAGGTCCTATAAATTATACTTAATTATACTCTGATTGACTTCCCATCTATTGAGCATATTCAATATGGCTTTCTGCCGGATTGCTCGGCAAGACGTCCTCTCGCTCTCTCTCTCGCTCTCTCTCTCGCTCTCTCTCTCTCTCTGTCTCGGTATTACAGACAGCACACGTCTTGCTGTTTCAGGATGAGCGTAGAAGTACAGCACAAGACAGATGCTGCAGAGAACACTAACAATCTCCCTTCTCTAACTCTCTTACACACACACACAGCCTCTCACATACACTGGACCCAGACTACACAGCACTAATGCTTCCTGTTTGCCTTTAATCAGAGCTCAGGTTTCAGGAAGACAGGATGCATTAGTGGTGAGAGGGTAGAGTCGGCCTGCATTAGCAGGCTGAGAGACAAAGCTGACGGCTGGAAACAACCAGCAGCTCTTTATTTTTCAGTACATGCTTAAATTGTAATGTTACAGGAGGCCTTGCAATTAGAGTCAGACTAAAACAACGTGTGTCACGATGTTTCAATGAATCTCAACCACCTAGTTTGATCGGCCACCTCTCAGTTTGGTCGATCTGCCACCACTTAACAAGATTTTTTTTCTTATGCAACTGAGCGGACATGATTCAGCTGAACCAAGCCCACCAATTGCCCTACGAGCAATATCTATTCCTGGTTATTTTGTATGATACAGGCTGCACACCACTGCCATCAGATTTAAGAGTTATTTTATTAAGAATTTTTTGAAGGTATGTATCCGTAAAAGCAACAATTGGCTGGGAGAACACACGGACGAGAGGCAGAGCCTTTCAGCTGGTAGACCAGGCGGACGAGAGGCGGAGCCTTTCAGCTGGTAGAACAGGCGGACGAGAGGCGGAGCCTTTCAGCTGGTAGAACACACGGTCCAGAGGCGGAGCCTTTCAGCTGGTAGAACAGGCGGACAAGAGGCGGAGCCTTTCAGCTGGTAGAACAGGCGGACAAGAGGTGGAGCCTTTCAGCTGGTAGAACAGGCGGACAAGAGGCGGAGCCTTTCAGCTGGTGGAACACACGGTCCAGAGGCGGAGCCTTTCAGCTGGTGGAACACACGGTCCAGAGGCGGAGCCTTTCAGCTGGTAGAACACGCGGACGAGAGGCGGAGCCTTTCAGCTGGTAGAACAGGCGGACGAGAGGCGGAGCCTTTCAGCTGGTAGAACACACGGACCAGCTGGTACAAGGCATGATGAGTGGTCTAGCTTAACAATCACATGATACAACACATGGAGGGGATGTGGAACACAGAGGAAAGCAAAATAAATGAAATGCAAGAAAATCCATTAAGAAGCAAACAGACCCAAACAGTATTGCACTATATTCCAAAGTGAAACACAAGCAGTGTATTGTGTGTACATCGGATGATCATTTTACGTCCCGTCTGATGATCACCCCAAAGCTAACCGCACATTCTGTCATTCTATGTTGCATTATACTTAGGCTACAGTTTATATATTTCTGCAATAACTGATCCCGTAGTAGGCTCAGCCATTATTTATTGTCATTGTCTTCATTTGTGCAGAAATGCAGGCCAGGAGCACTTCCTGTGTTCTTTCGGCAATGGGCCCAGAAGCTGTATTGGAACTAAACTTACGGATGTTTTCCTTAAGGTGAGTCCATTTCTCCAACACCCAAAACCACATGCATTCAGGCACACTCACGGTGCCACTCAACGTTGCCACAGTCTCTAAGATTGTTGTTGAAACAACATAATGCGGTTTTTCTGTTCTCTGTTAGAACTGAGCGTCTCTCCTGCAGAAATGACATACAATCAAAGAGGAAAGGGACCACTCCTCATGGGAATGATTAAATGCATGTGTGTGTGTCTTTATTATCCTAACAAACAGAGCCAGATACAGACTGTCCTGTTTAAACCACCTGCTAGTCCCCCCGGTAGCCTTTACCATAGCCACCATTGCCTATAATTAGGAGACAAGTACACACACACACACACACACACACACATACTGAGACTATGGAACAAGAGCAGGACAGGTGTGTTACAGGTGCAAAAACAGGAAGGGCAGGGATTTAGTTCCCATGTGGGGATGTTCGCTCTGGAAACAGGAGTGACTATGTACATATTTGTTGTGAGTCTTGGAGGGGGACGCCAACCTGAAAACAACCACCGTGAACTGCTGGATTCACACGGTTTTAATTGGTAACGAATCAATGAGGTTACACCTCCCAAATCCCTCCCATACTCAGTGATGTAAACTTAGACCGTAAACTTGCATAGCATCAACACAAAGATAATGGCAGAGTCTACCATCAAAGGTTTTTAATATCCGATAGATAGACATTAGTAAGCTTCTCATAGCGGGGGTGGATTTGTCCGTCTTGTGTTGTTTTTAGGATTTACCAGCTGTAGTGCGATAGATGGTTGAGCGAACTCCATTCATTTTAGTTGAAAAAATCTTAATGGCTGGCCTTTTAGCGTTTCCAAGTGACTGCTTTTGCGACTTTATAAGGGTTTTAAATGTGTTCGAGACCTAATGCTCGATGGCCGGCTGTTATGCACTTAGGGTGGTGTGTTTGTTGGAGGGAAGGAAGCAAAATCTACCGGTCAGCTAATGAGAGGCTTGTCTCAACAGTTTACATCCGTAGAGGCAAACTAATACACTCTATTTACATTCCCTAACCTCCCTCAGGCTGGTAGATTACAGCCACATAAACAGAATCTAAATGTATGCGGCTATTAAAGAGCAAAAACCCGCATTCAAACATAATGTGTAGGGGGGTGTTGCTGAAAGCTATCCTTCATGCAAATGTTAGGGATGAGTCAATCCTATATTCACACCACACACACAAAAGATTCATGGAAAATGTTGAGTCTGATTGAATGGAGGGCAGAATATATATGTATTTATTAAAATGTACATGTATTTGATTTAGACCAGTCCTTATCTCATCTAAATTAATTTAATCCAGTCTTATTCCTTTTTTGTTTTGACAACAAATGAATTCCGGACACACGATGTCATCCATATCTCCGGGGTCAGCCCTGCTCCTCCATCTGTTAGCCTAGGAATGCTCTCGACGCTTCAGTTAGTGTTGTTCTCTGACCCAACACTGCTACGGGATAACGTACAAGAAGTGCACACGCTATCCATCACCTTGTCCAGTTAGATTTTGTACCAATGTGGCCCGCGTTGTACCTCATCCTGGGTGTCTGATTGGCTCTCATCAGACTGACTACCATGCTCACACACACACACACACACACACAGATAAGAGGGTGTGACCAGAATAAAAAGTAGACCAGAGGGATCTAGGTCAGAGATGTGAGTCATCGCCTCCTCTCTTCATCCTTCCCCTTCCCGCCTTCCTCCCACCCCCGCCATCATCGCCCTTACCCTATTCCATCGTCTTCTTGCCTCCCTTCCTCCATTCATCCGGCTCCTCCCCCTCTATTGGCAAAATCTTCATTCACAAAGTGCAGGGAGGCTGCAACTTGCTTTTACTGGTTACTGTTGCAGTGGATCTGAATCTGTGGCTGGCTATCAACCAATCGGCATTCCTGCCAGCCATGGAGCTCTGAGTTTAGGAATGTAGAATGAAATGGGATCAGGCTCTACACTCAAAGCAGTGCGGAAATAAGAGTTTATTGTTGATTTGAGACATTTTGGTGAAACTTGAACACTGCAACATGCTCAAATTAGTACAGACAAGAACAAATTGTTTGAGTACAGAGGACCTAATGTTCTTTTTCAACTTGGCGGCCGAAATGTGTTGCTTTCCTACTTTTCAAAATCTGGAAACAAACAAACATAACAACAAAGTGTTATGGAGGCTGGAGCTTTTCAAGTTGGAGCTTTTTTTGTGAAAACAATAAAATTAGGAGATTTTCACTGCCACCCCGCTGCTTTTAACTCTGAATATTATCACGCAGAAACTTTAGTTTACAACACACACACAACACTTTCTTTTTCTTGTTTGGTCACCAGGAAGCGTGCATGTACCTGTTAAAGAACTGCGACTGGTGTCTGGACCCTCCATCACAAGACCTCGAGTACAAATGGCTGCCTGTTTCTCGCCCGGCCCACCCCCCCGCCATCTCCTTCACCCGACTCGATGCCGCCGGATGTGACGGGAGCGACACCAGCTAGGATGCACAGTATGTTTGGTGATGTAGCTGCTGATAAATTGTGTGTGCGTGGAGGGGGCAGGGAGAGGAAAACAAGGCAAAACACGTCTGTCTAGAATGTGCAGAACAACCCGGAAAATATGTGATCAAACCCAAAGGGAAGCCAGCGAACTATAAGGGCTTCCCCCTCCCTCCCCCCCGCTGCATATAACGCAGTAATCGCCGTGGGGAA